GTCTGCGCAGGCCATGGGGCTGCTCCCGGAGGCGGCTGAGCTGGGGAACGCGGCGGGGCTGCAGGCAGGCTGTGTGTGGGGAGAGAAGGGAGAAAAATACAGAGAGAGAAATAGGGAGAGGGGTTGTCAAAGCTGCTTCCAGTCAGATTTTCCTCAAAACACATTTAACTGGGTTTTAATTCTCTGAATTCAGAGGGGAGAGGTTTTGGGACCACTGCTCTTCATCTGGGTGAGGCGAGGCAGCAGTAGGGCTGCCAGCGGCACCATCCCGTGCCAGGCACGCGGGTTTTTGTCTCAGGCTGCTCAGGTCTTGGTCATTTTACACTGCTGCTGTACAAGCCCCAACCCAAGGTGCAGCCTGAAAAAGCCTTGAGCAGCAGCTGAGCACAGGGCGCTGCTGGGTCTGCGAGGTGGAAACAACATAGCCGGGCCTGGAGATAAACACAGTTCTCAGGAGGGATGTAAGCAGGTGGGTAGGTTGTGAGTCTTCCTCCTAGGGGCTACAGAGCTCATCTACAATAATTCACGTGGAGGCGAAGGAAATGCGAGGCCAGTCAGCTGCTGTGCACCGAGGGTGTCTACACTATCCCACACAGCACCAAGTCATAACAGGCAGCATGGCAGAAGCGCTGCAAACCCTGCCGGGAAATAGGATACAAACCACACTGAATTTGGGGCATACTGCAATGGGTGCAGGACAGGGGCCCCAGCGGCCATCATGGGGGAGCAACACAGATCTCCTCATCCTTTTAACAGGGGTGCAGCGAGTGCTCCTGGACACATGCCAGGAAAGAGAATATATTGCAGTATGGCCTGACAGAGTGTGCGTGGCACTGCCAGTCATACCGTGACACCGCTGCCGGCGGAGGTCGGGGAACTGCCCCTTTTATTGTCCAGACAGGCAGTCGGGGACAGGGAGAGTGCTGTGGGGGAGAGCTGACTGTGCTCTTGACACACATGCTGCCAGTAAGACTGGGAAGGAGCTGGTAGTTTTTTCCAAGAGCCTTTGGACTGCGAAGTTACTGGTGGCAAACTGATGTATTTAGAAGGAAGTCATTAAGAGGAAGAAAATAAATTTGAGGTCCCATGGCTGCCAAGAGGGCTTTGTTCTTCGAGCACAGCCCAGGTGAGCTGGCTCGAGTCAAGGAAGGTGCCCCCAGGGAGAGCCTTTGAGTGTGCTTTTCAGGCACAGCAGCTGCAACTTTGCCTTGCACTTACAGCCTCCCTTGAGCCAGGCCTGGCTTTTGGGGTCACTGCACAAGTAGAGGGGCAAACCTAGCTACCTTTTGGGCTGTAACTAAACCCAGGCACTACTCCAGTGCCAGGCTACCTTTTGCCATTCACTGTCACAGGAACTACCCATCCCTCTGGGGCACCTTTCCTGTGAGCTGGAAGGCAGCACCCCAGCACTTCATTTCCTTGCAGGGAGTGGGGTCGGAGCTGAGCTAGGGAACGTGAAACATCGGTGGATCTGCCTTATTTAGCTATGGGAGCACATGCAATATTACAGCATCCAGAAACCAGCCATCGCTGATTTCACCCCACTGGATCATCCCAAATCTCTGCCATTAGAAAATCTCTGGCAGCAGGGAATGCCCCTGGTAGGTACGGCTGGCTCCTGGAAAAGCAAGGAGCTCCAGCAAGCAGAACTGACAAAGAAGCCGTAGTGTTTATTAACAAACACCTCCAGCTTACCAGTTTGTCATATGAATGGACAACCAAATCTTTGAACTTACCTTCATTTCCCTGCTCTCCCTCACCAGAAGGGAGAGGTCCTGTGTCCTCCTGATAGAGGAGTGCAGTCCCCTGGTCCCCCGCCACTGTAATCTACACACTTTACCTTTCTCCTTATGCATTATCAATAAAAAGATTACATTTGCCTACAGTATTTAGGGCAAGTCTGTAAGAGTGTACTACGCTCCTTCTTTTTATCAGTGTGTTAATGTTAGTGCATGATAAGCAGAAGGTACACAAGAACCATGAAACAGAATTAAACCCCACAGCTGACATTTACCAAAGATCAAACTACTGAGAGTCACACATGGGGAAAAGGAAATATATTTTCTGACACTTGCAGCTCTGTCGCAATGTGAGTTTTCAGAGTGTTCACAGTCTCAGGGCCGGAGTCTCAACCTGTACAATTTCATGTCATTGAAGCTAATGTGTATCTGCCAACTTAGCATCTTAAAAACTCTATATAAAATGAAGAAAAAAGTCTGTCTTCATAAACAGCAGAACTAACAAGTTAATGTCTTTTCAGTCTGTTCCCATTGTCACACAACAGGGAAGCAACTCTGTCTACTCACTTCCTTCTTTCACAATAGCTAGAACTGAATTTAGTACATGTAAACAGAGCAACAGCTGAATAGTTTCTATTCAGCAGGAAGTGCCCAGGGCAGAAGAGATGCTAAGGAGACACAAACAAGGTTGATTTTCTCACTGTTGAATTATACAAAGATTGTTCTGTTGTTTAATAGACACGATTAAGCCAAAATTTGTAGTCTGCATACTTAAGTGTTTTGAGTTCACTTCCTCACAATGAACTAACCCCTTGTTCTCAAAACTGAAAGCAAGAAAGAATATCAATATATTTAAATCTATTTTTTGTATGTGTTTTACTTCACAGCTCTAGAGACTAAGACAGATGGAGGATCAGGCTGTACTGGACTCCCATTCTGAAGTTCCCCTCAAACCCTGCAGACAGGGGTCTTTAGCAGCCTTTGCTCTGGAAAAGCAAAGGGTAACCTCTTGCGCTTACCCCAGGAATGAATGTTTTCAGGTTTCAGGCAAACAAATGTGAAAAACAGCTCTCTGAACCCATGAGATGAGAAACTCAACTGGTAACTCATCTCCACTCCTTCCAGACCAGGGAGGTTTGCTGGTGGTACTGCAAATAGCAAAGGGCTGAGGAAGGCTGGAAGAAAAAACATTTTCCAGCACACCTGGCATTCTCAAATAACTTTTTGCATGACCATCATCTCTTCACCTATAGCTGTGTCCTTTGTGTGCTCAGCTGCAGAGGGAAAAGATATAAAAGCTGCATTACGACAGCAGACACACAAGGAGCATCTCCAAACTCCCTTGTCTAGGTATATTATCCATCCTGATCCCTACTAAGGCCAGAGCTGGGTTAGCTTACTTGGGGGAATATACTTGTTTACCTGGAATAAAAACCCAAACCATACCTGTGCAACCCCCCCCAAAAAAGGGTTTGGTTGCCCTAAAACTCATTGATTTATCCAGTTGTGTTAGCTGGTCAGATGAAGGCTATTACTAGTCCCTCCAGATTTGCTGCAATTAAGTCTCCAGGACCACATAAAAAGGCATTGTGTGTTTCATGTTTTGCCACACTAAAGGCATTCATTCAAACCAGCAAACTTCCCTCTAAAGGATCAGTTCCACTTAAACTGAAATACCCCTCCTTGCCATTACTGTCTCCCAACAGTGGTAACTGCAAGGCTAATGCCTTGCAGAGTTTGGACCGAACTATCACAGAGCATTTATTGCTGATTCAGGTTCCCAGTGAACACAGAGGTCAGTGTATAAGCTATCCTACTTGTCTTTCTCATGCATAGTCAAGTAGGCACCTAACAAGTTACCCCAACCCCATAAACTGTACTCCGGTAACTACTCTTCAAGACAGGTTAAAGTTACATACAGCAAGCAGTTGTCTGCATTACAAAAAGTGGGTCAGTCAGGCATCTGAATAATTCTTGGCCTTCTCTTCCCTGGCCATAAGACAAGTAATACTTTTTGCTTCCTCTTTGCAGTAACTAGGGGTTTAAGCCTTTTGATTGCTGCAACCAACACCTTAAGGTACAGGAAGTTTCAAAGACCAAATGTTATTTCTGCTGTACCACATGCCAGTAAATTTGACTTATTTTTCTTTTTCCCCTCCCAGAAATCGGTTGCTGTGGGTCTGCCAGCAGTATCTGACTTTTTAAGGTGCTACTTCTAAAGTCAATGTGAAATCATGGTAGCCAGTTCATCTATTAATACCATATCTTGGAGTGTTGTGATATCAGGAGAAACTCACTCTCTTCAAAAAGTAGTTTTATGTGGCAAAAGCTTGAAAATGTGAATGTTTGGGATACTCCAGTACAAGCAGAAGCCAATTTTTTTTTTTTTTTCTTACAGTCCTGTACCAAATCCTGTCTCTCCCCCTTGAGAGCCTTTGCTAGAATGGGCACAGAAGCGCAGCTCCTAGCCCTCTGAGTGATAGTACCTCTCTCCTTTTTTGGACTATCCTCTTTGCATCTGCTGCTGCTTGAATCTACTTTGAAAGAAATTTTTTTAGGATGCTAACAATATTATTCTCTTTTCTGCTTAAGCTTTTAGCACAGTGGATGCAGATGTAGGGCTCTGTGGGGCCTCATTTCCTCCCTATAAAGAGGCTTTCTGCATCACCATTCACTAACCATAAACCAAAAGCATTAAGTGACTCAACACGAAGCACACTAACTTAGTTCTCGTCTTGCACCCAAGCACTACTTGGGTCTGGTTTAACTATTTCCTTCTTCCAGACATGCCACTGTGCAACGTATTTCTTGTCAAGGCTCCACACCCATGACTGTGCCTCGTATTCCTGCTATCCAGGGATTTTGTACATCCTAATTGCTCTGCCTGTGACACAGTGCTGCCCAATGGCAGTCCTGCACTTTGCTTGAAGGAAGCACATACAGCAGAGACAACTGGAGTAACAGGACAGGTCTTACCTCGGTTCATCTCTCAGTCTCCCTTTGGGGCAAAATAACCCTTTAAGCATTGGTTTATCCCCTGCTGTTTCCCCCCTTTCATTCTCATTTCTACCCTCTGAACCAAGTGATCTACAGTCTCATCAGCTTCTTAGTTACTGTACACACCAGCCAGCAACTAGACTCCTTTAATTCTGGCAGGGAGCGTGCAAGTTTCCAATCCTT